TCTCGTCCCATAGGTAGATAGATATACGTATAAGTATTACGGGTTAGTTCTTATTCGTAAAGAGTTAACCAACCGTCGCGCCAAACCGATGATCCACAGGAATAAATTAATTATCTTACAACGTTCTATCGTGATATGTTTTTCACGGTGGTAATTTTCTCGTTCGAGAAATCGTCGATCTTCTGACCCCTTCCCAAAAGAGAAACGGACAAGGTAGCGGACGCGTTAAGCCTGTTTTCCGTGTTGATGATGTAAATCAGTGATTGTTGCCGATCCAAGAGATCCGAAGTCTAATTTATAAATGTGATAGCGATGCGCATGGGCAGAGGGCACGTTTCTTGATCCGTGGAGCAGTATGTGTCCCGCGAACGGTCATATCCGATTGTAAATTCCCTGGGGGAAGCTCTCCCTGCTCGTGCGCGACCAAAAACAAAAAAAAAACTGTATTAGCGAACGTTACAAATGAGCATTATTTATTTCTCGATTGTATTTATATATCGTTAACGGTAGTGAGTCTTAATAGTAGTTTACGGAAGTGTTATTATCTGGTGCTGAGTATATCGGCGGGTGCGAATCGTGGCGTCGCGACGACGACCAAACAGAGAAAAACGTTCCCCCTTTCAACCCGGTGGTAAATCGAACGTCGCAGGTGTCAGCGGTTTGTTACTTTCGGCTTGGGAAGTGGCGATTTCTTGTGCAAAAATCGCTACTACCGATTAGCGTGGCAAAAGTCCGCCGTACTTCGATCGTATCACCGTGGTGGCCGGGAGATCACTCGGCTTCCGGTCCACTCGAGAACTGCGACGCGTCGCAGGAACAGGTATTCTACGACTGTTCCATCTTATATCGGTCCTAGGATCGACGAGCATGATCCGCTTGGAATTTCTTATTAGCGGCCGTTGGTTCGCGGTGATCACGACAGTTCAAACTAATGATAAACTCCAAGTGACTCGGATCAACTACGACTGTTCCGATAGTCCGGTTCCACGGAGTCACTTCCACGATTCGATCCGCGATTTGAAGGCGTGTATCGATCGTTTTATGCCGTGGCCATTATTCGTTGCGTGCATCTTGTATATTCGAACAGTTGCGATCTGTGTTTTTACTTGCGCTTGCACAAAAAAGCCCCGCGCCGCAACCCCCGAGGTTTTTCCGTTTGACTACTCCGTTCGAAGCATTCCTATTTGTGTCATGCGAACCAGAACCGATTTCTGTTTCCTCCCCCCCCCCCCCCCCCCCCCCCCCCCCCCCCCCCCCCCCCCCCCCC